TGCCCAGCCCGGCGCCCTCCCTGCTCTGCAGCCTGGCGCAGCCCCCGGAGGCACCCTTCGTCTACTTCAAGCCGGCGGCGGGCTTCTTCGGCGCGGGCGGTGGCGGGCCGGAGCCGGGGGGCGCGGGGACGCCGCCGGGGGGAGCCACCGCGCCGCCCTCGCCTCCCTCGCCGCCCCCGACGCTGCTGGACGAGGTGGAGCCGCTGGACCTGGAGAGCGTGGCCGCTTGGCGGGACGAGGACGACTACACCTGGTATTGCCGAGCTCCGCTCCCTCCCCCGGAACCCTGGCCTCCGAGGCCCCGGGACGGCGGGGAGGGCGTGGGCTGGGAGGAAGAGGGGGACCTCGCCATTGCCCCCGGACGTGGTGGCCTGGCAGGTGCCCAACTCGGCGACGAGCTGAGGCTTTTCATGAGGGCGGAAACCTGTTTCTCATAGCTCAGGCTGACCCAGCTGGGGATGGATTGGTCCCCTCCATCTCGCTGTATTCTGCTTTCTGCTGAGTATTTGGTCCCAAGCTCCTTTTTCGCATTAACTGAAAAATCTATGCCGTCTTTTTGCTACCCAGTCCTGCGTTTTTCTCCCAGTCATTTTTGGGAGTAACGGGGGATGGGCAGGGTTTGGCCTCAGTTTGCGACCGTTCCCTGTCTTTTCTCCCCAGCGAACGCTGGACAGGCTTTGCGTATCGTCCCTTTCCGTGGCATCCCGAGCCGCCTGGTGATGGATCTCTCCTTAGAGATTCGTTCTTGCAGTTTGACTTGTGCAGTCGCATGTCCTCTTTTGCTGCATTTTCATTGATAGCTTCTTTTTTTTTATTTTTTTTTAATTTTTTATTTTTTTCATTGATAGCTTCTCATTTCAAAGACTGACTTGGTTTTTGAAATGTTTCGCCACCACCGGCTTTCCTATCAGTAATGATGTCAAAAAATGAGGGCTTTTCGGGGAATGGAGTGAGCAGCTTGAAAACACTGTTACTTAGAAACCAAGGATCTGTCCTTAATTTTTTTTTTTAAATCAAACTGTTGATTGAATAAAAGTGAGATTAGAGAAACTTTTTAAAAAAATTTTTTTAGAAGCCGTAAGTTGGTTATCAGAAAACTTGTGGCTGGTAGCATCTTTTCATTTGAAATCTGGTTCGCCCTTTCTGTGTTCCAACCGTGACTCACTTTGGGGAGGTCTAGTTCCCTTTTCATGCTGCTTACTCGTGGAGTAAGTCCTTTCATGGCTGGTTTCTTTTAGTTGGCTCATATGCTTTCCTCCGTCACTAGAGGTAGTGGGATATGGTAAGATGAGCAGAAGCCCCAGATGAGGTGGAACTTGGTCCCTGCAGGGAAAACCAACAGCATTCACCTCTGCAGAGCTATGTGGCATGGAATGGTTGTAGTCCTTTTATCTAGGGTCGTTTTACTTAGGACCCTTCCTGTTTTGGGTCAGCTGGATTTTCCTCACTCTCTGTGTTCCTGTTGCATGAACACACAGCAGGAATGAGAAATGGAGAACCTTCCTGGTTTCCTATTGAGAACTGTAGTGCTCCTTTAGACTCTTAGAACTCAGACTGCAAAAGTTTAGTAACCAATTGATTTGATTGGGAGAATCAAAATGTACGGGAGCTACAGCAAAGCAAACTCCCCCTCCTCCTCAGTACCCGTCCAAAGCAAACTCCTCCTCCCCTCCTCCTCCTTCCTACTTGTCCGCAGCTGTGCTGGTAGCTCAAGTTGTAAAAATCAAAACCGCTTACCACTTTGGGGAGAGTGAGTTAAGCCATTCTTTAGAAGTTACACCTTTATTTTTGTGAAGCCCAGGCTGTATTGTAAACTCAGTTTCAACCTGAATATGGTACTAGAAGATGCTCTCATGCTGGTTGTTCTTAGGTTCTATGATAACTATAAGCCCTTAGGCCACTTTCAGATTATTTTATGTTGATTTAGTCCCCACTTGGCCTTTCCTAGAGATAACGTACTTAAATAGTAAAGGAGAACTTGTTTGTGTTTTTGATCCTATGCGTTAAAAATATTAGCATTTTAAAATGTGTTATGATACACTTACTGTTGTCTAACTATTGCTAGAATTTTGGTATGTAGGCTTTCCTTTTGTAGTTTTCTGTTCTTCAAAATAGTATTGAAATGACTTTGAAAAACAGTGACCTCCTTAGTAGGATTACTGTTAGCCCAGTGAATGTAAATTAATTATAGCAGGTTCTACTGATTTCACTCATCGAGTAGTTAGGTGACTACATAAATCAGTGCCGTGACACTTTACAAATGTTTCTTCAGACAAGTGGCATACTGTTTTATGGAGTATCTTTCTCAAAACAAACCTAGGATTAGAATCTCATGTGGAAAAACAGAGGGATCATTACTCTCAGGTGGGATGTAACTTAAAAAATTTTAAGGTCGCCTGATTTACAGAAACCTTTCATGGCGTTTTGTACACTACGGTATTATTGTATTGCAGTATTTTGGCCTGTTGATAAACAAATAAACAGGGTCTGATTTTCAAAGTTTAACCCGCTTGTAAATGCTTGCAAAGCTCTGATTTTCCTTCATCACTGCAAACTGTTTAAGTACCTGTCCTGTAGTGTCACAGATAAGGTGCTTTTCACTGGATTCCCTAGATGTTTGCAGGGAAGCAACGTATTTTTATTTCCCCTGTTAAGAAACAACTGTAGTGGATAAGAAGTAACTGAATATTTTTAAAATATCTAAAAATAGTTTTACATTTTCACTATAAAAAAAACACACAAAACAACACAACCCAACACAGAAGTGAGTGTCAAGTCACAGAAGTCTCCCCTCTTGTTCAGTTCACTGCCATGATTGAGTTTACCCCTGTTAACATTCTGTAGATCCTTCAAGATCAAAACATGATTATACCAATCAATATGCAAATATATACACATCAATTTTTTTACTTACCTTTCACTGAACGTATCTTGGACATCTTTGTCTCCCTGTGACAATCGCATCATTGTTAAAGTAACAGTAGTAAGGATCGGCTTACTGTTAACATATTGCTTATAATTTTTCATGCATTTTTATCATGATTTCATCCTTGGGGGCTAAACAAAATTGATATTTGATTATTTAGAATAGTATTTCCCACTAAGATGTCTTATCTTCAGGAAAGAAATTCACAAACTTAGATTAATTCTTGAATATTTTAAGAAGTTCTTTCCTATAGGTCCATTTTATTCTAATAAAACTTTGGACTATAACTGTTCATTTTATTAACCTGGACAACTCTTGGCTCAAGAGTTATGTGTAGAAGGAAAACAGTGACTCATAGAATCAGTATTTGCTTGATGATGGTTGATTAGTTAATGAACGATCAATCAGGTCTCTTAGATCTTTTCCCCAAACAATTATTTGATCTATAAGCATCTTCTGTTTACAAAAAACAAAAAACAAAACTTTGTAAGAAGGATGGTGTGTTCTGCTTTTCATTTTGATGAAAAGCTTTGAAAGAAAATAATGGTCTCATGTCTTCAGATATTCATCCCAGTTGAATTTGAATTGTTTGATTTTGCTTTAATCTTAGCACAGGGCTGTTAGAAATCAGTGTCTCAGAAAACTAGATTTTGGTTCCAGAACCTTAATTCTTTAATCCATCCAGTTGTTTTGATCCCATAGTAAACTTCTCATCCTGCTCTACGGAATCTTCAGTGATCTTCCTGCTAATTTGACAGCCTTCACTTTCCAGAAGACCGTAGGTGAGAAAGTAAAGGGGGAATCTGTGAGTGTCAGGAGCAAATACGAAGGTCCAAGGATTGAAGTGTTGATACATACCTGGACCGTGTGACTGCATGATATGCCAGCCTGTAAGAAGGATGGTTTCAGGATCACTGTCCCAGTGTCGCCAGGCTGAGAGGCACCAGGGTATCAGGAGGAGAAATCAGATTGGTATGAAGTGGTAAGGGGAGCAGTAAGTTAACTGTGTACTAGACCTTTCCATGACCCATTTCAGCTCCCCTGTATCATGATTGAGGGACTGAAGCTCCAAGGTGGAATGATTTCCAAAGGCTCCACCAGTTAGTTACTGAAAGGTTAAGACCACATTTCAGATTGTTTACACAGATTCTGAAGCGTTTACACCACTGATATTTCCCCCTAGCTTGGTTATGACCCATTAGTGTGTTATAAAGTAAGTTTAGTGGATTGACCAGCATTTCTTTTTTAAAAAATGAAGAGCAGAATATAAAATCAGAATGCATCGTGTCTTATAACACAAATTTGTCTTGATTAAACTTCAGTTTTACATGTGTGTGCCCTGGCTTGAAGTAGTAATTGTATTTGTGCGATATGATCACAGTCAGGAAAATTCAATTTTACACCATTTGAAAGCAAGACAGTCTTGGGGAAAGTAGGTGGAGAAGCACAGCTCTCTGAAGATAGGGCAGCACTGGGGAAAGTCAGGTCTTGCACACCTCAATCAGGAAGACAGGTCTATATTCAGAAAATGCCAAATAAAAATATGCCAGCTAACATAAAATACAGTCCTACAGGGCCTTTATTTTAGTGAAGTGGCAATTAGAAGAATATTGAAGACTTACGTAAAAAGGATGTGGCAGAGATTTTGAACTTGCCCAATTGGAAAGGACAGGAGAAACGTTCATAATTATACAAGGGGGAAATGGTGATATGTACAAACTAAGGAAAATTTAATGAATGAGATATTCATCTTTCACGTGTAACACCCAAGACCCTGGACAGCTGGCTGAATCATTGCCAATTCTTTATCAGAGCTGCTGAACACCTTGTACTATGCATATGGCACAGCTAAATTAGACCACCTAAACTGTTTTTTCCATAATTGATTTTCAGCGAAAAGACCAGAGGGTGCTTCACTTTCTGACAATGCTAATTGAAAACCTGAGTGTTTTCTAGAAGCAAATGGAGTTGACTGAAGCATGTGCTGAGGTCTTTGAAACACTGCAGTGAGACATAGAAATAAAAATTTAAATTGAACTGTGGAGGGTTGGGGGCAGAGTCTTATAGGACAATTCCATAACTGAAATTTGGATTTCATGTGTCCTTTTAATAGCTTAGTGGCGGAAAGTTTGCTTTGCAGTGGCTGACCATTTTGACCCTAGCAGGTGCTGGTGAATCAAACACTTGGCATTCGACTAAAGATTGATCGATTGTGCTTATCAGTGCTAATGTTTTAGCTTTTCTTAAAATAGAACTTGTGATGATTGAAGGCTCTTAAATTACATGTCTGAAAACTGCCACATATTACTTCTCAGTGACAGGTTCCTAAAATCTGTGTATATATTTTGCTGTGTCATTTGTTTTTGTGTTATCAGAAGGATGACTTTAGAACCAAATGTCTACTTGAGAGTAACTGAGATTTCTGGGTCGTTGTAATACTTCCTTTGAAACCTTTGGATTATTATTTTGGTTATTCCTGTCCCTCCCCATGTTAGCACTTGTAGTAAGTGA